GGTATTTGTAGCCGGGGAAGGGGAAGATTAATTACAGAGGAAGCTACCGGCGGTGAGGGGAATACGCCACGGAGGGCAAGAAACCAACCAAGATTTGAGAGTAGGAAGGTATCCTGATGCATTTGGGCGGGAAAAAAAATCTTAATGGAGGAGTGCTCGGCGGTGAGGGGAAAGCCGCGGTGAAAAGCCGGTGAGGGGAACACCGCGGTGAACAGCCGCCGGCTAGGACACAAGAGGAAGGAGGTGCCCAGATTCGAGAGAGGAGGAAGAGGTTATCGAAGGTTTCGGGCGCAGGTATTCGGGAGCGTGAGTATTGGCTGTGACGGAGGAGCATTCGTACGGTGCGGTGTTCTAAAATTTTTGAAGGTACTGATCTGATCTGACACGTAAGCAAATTTTGCGTTAATTTTTCGTGTAGTAGTATGTGTGAGTTTTATTTTATTCAAATTATTTAAAATTTATTATTTTATTCAAATTTATCAATTTGCGCATAATTTGACCTTAACACGTAACAAGGTGGGTATCCAAGCTCCTAGGTAAAATCGACTTCCAAGATGCATTAGTGCAGTCCATTTTGTCATCTAAGATTACACGGGCAAGTTCACCAGCGGTCGAATCAATTCAAATCCAATTTGCGCAACACGACAAATGAAATTATTTTGGTCCGATCGGAGCGGTTTAACGAATCAATTGCTGACCGGTTCTCGCCTAAGCGATAACCAAAGTCAAGCAGATTGTTCTCGACAACAAGTCAAAGGTCGCATGTCATGAGGTCACCTTATGGCTTTCAAATCCCTACGGGAACTAAACTTGATTTTCAATATGTCAACTTTAATCGACTCAATCAAATGCTGAGGATTTGAAACCGTACATATGAAACTATAAGGAGCTTCTAAATAATGTTGGTCTCAGTCTAGTCCTCTAGGAGAGTCAAATAGGAAATCCTAAGGCTAGATTTTAGGCTCTGAGGAGAGAAGAAAGAAAGACCTCAAAATGAGGTCAACAGTGTCGAATTAATTTTTACAATCGCTCAACCAAACAAAACACATTTTGATGCTGTCAATCAATTTTAACTGGACTACCATCAACCTTTGATCTCAATCTTCACAAATATTTTGACAATATTTGGGTTATTTCATCATTATAAAAACCACACATTCAAGTCTAACAACGTTAATATGAATCACATTTGTACATCCTACATTCATGTTCTAAGGATAGATGTGAACTCTATTTACATCAATTCAATATTAGTTCATAAAGAGATAACAGTCTGTACTTGTCTACATCCATTTGGTTTGACACAGATCTATTGAATAGCATACGTTATGGGTCATCACCACTTCTTAACGGGCCCACTTGCTTTGAGCTTAGATGTAACTCCACCACCAATAGAAAAACTAATGATAACAGACGCTACAAGGCATTAGTGGGCAACGCTTCCTGCTGGTATCATTGTTCATAGATTTTTCAATGGTGGTTATGATGTGATGCAGAAACAGATTGAGCACATCAAAGCAAATCCACCAGCTTATTCTTCCATACATCAATTATATGGAATTTCAGAATAGTCATTTATCCATATTGATGTTGCAACACAAGTTGAGGCTATATTGCCTATAATTTATGGGTACATCATGACTATCCACAAAATCAAAAATAGCAAGAGGAATGACTTAGGGCTTGCTCAATGTCTACACGATATAAAGCATGATAAAAAGTGCTTATCAAACTTGTTTGTAAGAGCGTTGACAAATATGCTAGCACTATCGATGAGAGTTACCTGATAGAGTGCATTTTTAATAATAGATTATTAGCATGAAAATAATTTAATAAGATAAACCAAAATTTTTTTGTTTTAAAAATGTGCTTTTACTCAACGTGGTTTGGTGTCCTGCTTGCCAAAGTCTCTTTAGGGATTTTTCAACATTCCTTCAACATCACCTGTGATCATCGAGCTTGAACATGACTCTAAGTAATAGTTTGGTTGATTTGGAAGGATGATTTAATGTTATACAACAAAAAGATAACAACTTTAGCTACATTCTCATGCAACAATTTAGTGGTGATCCTATTTTCAACTTCGATCTCGACCTCGACCTCAATCTCAATCTCCTTCGTGAATATGGGGTTCTTGAATCTGATCTGCCACCTAATGTCTTCAATTCTTCTGAATCTTCCTCTACCATTTCACATATGAGTATTAATGAGGTGTTGGTTGTTAAGGAGGATGAAGATTATTTCCGCAAAAAATAAAGAAAGTATGCTTGATTCAAAATTGTTTGGTTGTTTATTGAAGCCTTAATACTTGCATTTCATTTTGTTTTTAAGTTTCTATTTTGTAAGAAAAAAAATAAAGAAACTTTTGCATTGGAGCCTTATTAAAAAAATTTATTGTAGTTTAGCCAAGTTTATAATTTTTCTTGTTTATCTTTATGCCTCAAATCATCTAACAAATGACGAATAGAGACAATGCTATGATCTCTAGGAAGGGGAAGAAGATGCACATAAATCCCGCAAAATCTCAAATCCTGTTGGAATTATGGGATTTAGACAAGCAGTACACGGAAGAGGATAGGAGGAAATGGATGAACAAAGGTATGGGATTGTTGAATATCATGATTTGCTTAGGATTTAGTCAAAATGTTACAAATCTTAGATCCTGTTTTTAACTCAATTTTTATCTTTTTGTTTCCTTTTGCAGGAGTGTGCATTGTAATCAAATTATTATTTTTATCATATTTTTGTTTGGCGTCGTAAGGAATGACTTTGTGGCTTCAATATCAGATATTATGTTATTTTTTCATTTGAGTTGGAAGGTAATTCTCTTTTGACTCCATCAAATAAATTCAAAAGTTGTAATTTCTTTTACTTGAATAGAAATTTAGCTTCGCTTTGTCGCATGGCGTTTTATATTTATAGCGATAAAATATCCATTTTCTATTAGAATAAAAGAATAACTCCACTTTCTCTATCCAAGATGTGAATATTTTTCTTTTGAAAAAGATGATTTTATGCTTTCTAGTTGAAGAGTTGTAGGTTTTAAGGAAATAATTACCCAACTTTTGTACCTACTATATGTGATCTGTGTTTTAATTAAAATTCTTGTAGCATCTCTAAATTTTTGTTTCGAGATCTAAGTGATATGCTTTATTGTGTAGGAGAAGTATGGTCGTTATTAAAGTGTGGATTTATGATGGCTAAATTGGAATAGTGAAAATCCTAGTCATGTGTTGGCAAGTTGTGAATATAAACATGATATTGATGGAATCATATAAAAAGTATATTTCTTTTTTATATATAGCCTGTTTCAATTCATGTACTTAACTTATTTACTTATATGTTTATTTTATTTTGGTAAGCTTAAATGTTTTGGAGTAAATTGTTTACCTTATGCTTATAAGTTTAAAGCGTTATCATATAACATAGCTTACTTCACATTACATAACTTGTATTTTTTCATCACTTATCTTTTGAGTAGTTTTAGTGAATAAATTATGTAATTATATGTTTGATTGCCATAAATCACTCACTTAGGCTAATCATTTTCTAGCTCTATTATTAAATTTATGGTGTCTATTAAAAGATTTGATTAATTGATATTATGCATAATTTAATAGCTTTGAGTGATACACAAATTAATATTGTGATTATAATTTGAATACTCCATTTATTTAATGTAAATAAGTACTCCTCTTATAAACAAGTTGCATAATTAGATTCGTGATTTATTGTTAATTTGTCCGATAAGTTATCTAGCTTTCATTTTATGTTAAATCACTATTTTTAATTATCTTACATATTTTATAAACTTTATTATATAACTAGCTTCCATTGGTGCATTAAGCATAAGGGATCTGAATTGGTGAATTTAAAAAATAAGTTCATGAAATTTAAGTCACACCAAGATGGGGCTGAAAATTTTAATTATATATATATGATTCTAGAGGATCAATTGATTGTGTTATAAAATGGAGGCATTAATAAATATTTGGTTTTTTGGAAAATTTTCTTACCTTTTTAGGACTTGTAATTGATTTAGGACAAATAGTAACGCTTGAGCCGATGCTTGTATTATTTATATGTGAATCATTTGAAGATGATCTGGAGTGCTGATGCAAAGCATCTTAACCATCATCATCATCATCATCATCACATCATAATAAATTGTAATATTTGATGCCTATAACAATATAGTTTTACATTTGATGCTTTATTTATTTGCATTTTGTTGCACGACTTTTTTTCATCAAGTCATTATGTTATGAGATATTTTGGGTAATTTGTGTCACTTTAAATATTTTAGCTTGCAAACTGGCCAACCTATATGCCTTGATCGGCCCCTTCAATTTCCTCCTATCTCGCAATTATTTTAAGGGGATTTACACACATGACACTCTAAAATTAGGATTTACATATTCAAAACTTAGGCTTCTATATTTGCATCATCTATAATTTTATTAAATCCATTGACGAATCTCGTTGGAGGTGACATGTATCTACCGTGACTCTAGAGGCAACAAGATGGTGAGGTCAGTGTTTTCTTGGCAAGCACAGAGATAGTGAGATGGGCAGGTTCTCATGGCAATGCCAACTTCTGAGGTAACAATTTGGCAAGCTTGGCGGTAAGGTTGACGGTGAGTTTATAAGCTTTTTTTGAGCGTTCTAGACAATATCTAACATGCTTCTTATTCTATTAAAGGACAATGATTAATTCTGGTTGAATAAAACAATTTTTTTTAGTTTTCTCTCATTGTTGTATGTTTTCACCCCAACAAGATTTCTTCAATTTGTGAGTTCACAGCTCTTAGGAAAGAACTTCCAACAAAAAAAAAAGGAAGGTTGTCACCATAAATGATACACATGTTAAGTTTATCATAAATTAGATATTTTATAAGCTCATCATATTTTCATTTTCTTGATGTCAGGCAACTTATTTGTTTAACATACCTAGAATTGAAACCTTCTCAAAAAGGACAAGGACATCAAAATATAAACAATTGCAGGTCCAAAGCACAATGCAATGATTAAATCTCATAATAGTAACTTGTTTTATTACAAACCTATCATTGTGATTACGAGAAATAAGTGGCAAAAGCACCCTTTAAGTTGATCCAAGTATAACTTATTCAATCAGCTCAAGAAAGGAACACGCAAGCATAAATCATTCTTCACAGAGCTGTAAAACAGCAATAAAGGCACCATCATTCAACATTCCAAGAGGAAAGCGGAGGGGTCTCAGAGTTTTTCCAGGTCGCCATTCCGGTGCCATATCTATCACCCTTCACAGCATCGTCAGAAGCATATGATTCAAGTTCAGCTATTTCTTCAGTCGTAAGCTTCACAGAAAGTGCCCCAACATTCTGATTGAAGTTTTCGATCTTCGTAGTGCCGGGAATGGGGACTACATCGCTTCCCTGGTGATGCACCCAAGCGAGTGCAAGTTGTGAGGGCGTACAACCCTTTCTGGATGCAATTTCATTAACTCTCTCAAATATTTCAGCATTTTTGTCTAAATTCTCAGGTTGAAACCTTGGCAACATCTGCAATTTGTTAATTTTAGAAATACTCAGATGTAAGTTAGTTGTGTTATAGTCATCACCATTAAAAAGTGCACTCCAAGAAGCAAATGGATATTTAAATCTTTGTAAGCTGGATAAGAACCAAGACATGCAAAATAGCTTGCCAGTTTTTCTGCGGGAAATGTAATTATTCTATATTGGAAAAGTAGCACATCAGCCACTTATAATTATTATTTAAACTTTAAAGCATACTATCAGATTAAAGAAAAAAAAGATGAAGCACAAATATATGCACCTTGCGGACGTCTTCGCTGGATAGCTCATCAACTAACTTCGGCCCATAAGAGAAGAAGCCCCTCCCAAGTGGGCTGTATGCAACAATGCCTATTCCAAGTTCCCTGTTAAGTAGATAAAAGAGGGAAATTGCTTACGGGCAAAAATTTCATCAACCCCCTCCTCCATTCTGACAATGCCAAATGGATATAAAACAAACCTGCAGGTAGGAATGATATCAACCTCAACATCCCGTGACCACAAAGACCACTCTAGCTGCACTGCAGAAATTGGATGAACAGCATGTGCCCTCCTAATTGTTGAAGCAGAAGCCTCAGACAATCCTATATATTTTATCTTCCCTTCCTCAACTAGTTTCTTAAGTTCTCCCACCTGAAGATTAAACGGTGAAATTCGTAACTAGGATTTATCCCGAATTATAAATTTCAGCATTGTGATAATACTAAATAAACATATCAAAGAAAAGTGCAACTTTTTATACGTTAGCTTATGCATCATTATCATCATTAATCTTATCACAATTTTTTAATGTCGGCATGTGAGTATATGTATGTCATCAACATCATCATCATTGGCTTATAGAAGCTAATATACATGTACTTAAGGGCCCAATTGCAATTCACAAAAATTATAAACATATAGTAAACAATTTTTGTACCTTCAAAGTAATTAGAAGCATGAATTTCGATGCATATTGTATTAAAAATTTTACAGAGTCAAACTAAGATACCTCAAACTTCAATTTCAACAATTTTCTCGTCAAACATAACATCTCTATAATACAAACCCAAAAACAATAACATTAATTCAATCAAAGGATAAAGAAATTTGGATCAAGCACTTGAAGAAGGATTGGAAATGAAAACTTTGAAGTATTAATTAAAAGGTCAAATGATATTCAAATTTGATATATTTAAAATTAAATGGAGCGCCTCGAAAAGAAAAATTCACAGAACCTAAGATTGCATAATGTTGAGCTCATCAATATACTTAAATACTAAAAGAATTATTTATAATTATTTATGATTATTTATGATAAAAAAATTAACATTGACCATCCCATTGAGTATTTTGGGATTTTGGCTAAATTTACCAATAAGTCTTTTTTTTCCCAAAACAACATAAATATGACCCCATTTTCAATACGAAAGAGGTAGCTAATTTCATACACTATAGAATAGCTTTAAGTCAACCACCAATGCTCATCATCAACCATCGCCAGTGATTGTTGTAGCCAAACTACTATTTTACGATTGTTGCAACCTAACTACTGACACATGACTGTTTTTGCTTAATTGTTATAACTCAGTTAAAACTCTATAATCTCATCTTCTCCAATTCAAGAAAATAGTGGTGGATAATTTTAATTGAAATAGGCCCCGTGGTTGTCCATGTTTTCTATGTAAAATTTATGGTTTCTCATCCTTCAACACATCTCATCTCTGTATGTGTTAAATCTACATACTAAGTTAAGACATATAAATTTTACTTTAGTGTCACGAAATTTCTAGAACAAAATATACTAGTCACGCATTTAAAAGCTTACTCAGCATATATGGTATTATTCATCAATTGAGTTGTCCCTACACATCGCAACAAAATGGAATCGCTGAACAGAAACATCGCCATATTTTGGGGACAACTCATGCTCTAATATTAGGCTTCCATGTTCCTCCGTCGCTTTGGCTCGAAATGGTGCATACAACAATTTATTTGATCAACAAACTATCATCAAAAGATACTAGAAATCTATCACCCTATCAGATTCTCAATGGTACCTCACCGCAATATAACCTTCTTAAATCCTTTAGCTACCAATGCTTTCTCTGAATCCCATCTATTCATCGAAATAAACTACAATCCAAATCCCTTCCCTATGTTTTTCTTGGCTATCCATCCCATACCAAAGGTTACAAGTGTCTCGACCCAACCATTGGTAATAAGGTCATAGCTCGCTATGTTACTTTCAACAAATCGGTCTTCCCCTACATGGCCAAGTGTCTGCCTGAAAGCCCCTCTCCTACCTCACACATCTGATCACCTCTACTCATTCCAACCTCAACTATGTACTCTGCCTCTCCTAATATTCCCTAAGTCACTACTTCTAGTGCATCTCAACGAACCTCACCCCGCTCCCTACCTTTGACCGAAAACACCTTCCCAGTTAAATCTACACTTTACATAGTTTCCAACAGCCCTCTCCCACCCATTAGACCTCCATCAAAATATTCTATGATGACTATTTCTCAAACTGCTTCACTTCACAAGAAGTTTCTCCTTGATCTAATCCATTAGACATCTCCTCAGAATCAACCAAGCAATTCTAAATAGGCGGTTTAGCATGTTCAGTGGCAGAATGCAATGAAGAATTTATTGACTTGCAAGCCAAAAACACATGGAAGCTTCTTTGTTCCCCCCCCCCCCCCTATAGATCAACGAATACTTGGAAGTAAGTGGAAATACAAAATTAAATGCAATATTGATGGTTCTACTGCTCGCTACAAGGCTCGTCTAGTGGCTTTGAGATATCAGCAAGAATTCGGGCTTAACCATACAAATACATTTAGTCTTGTAGCCAAAATATGCACTTTACGGCTGTTGATTATGGTTGCTCTTCAACATAATATAAAGTCTTCCAAACGGATGTTTCTAACGTATTCTTACACAATCGCCTTCAAGAAATGATTTATATGCATCAACCGACAGGCTACAAGGATCCTACCCACATGATTCATGTCTGTCTTCTACAAAAGTCTATCTATGGCCTTAAGCAGGCTCAAAGGCTGTGGAATGCTACATTCACTACTCAATTAATTTTGATTTATCCTCAGTGTGGCTGACCCATCTCTCTACATTTACAAGAACAAGTCTCACCTACCTACCTTCTACTCAACGTAGATGATATTCTTCTCACCGGTACCGATTGTGACCTCATGCAGAAACTTCAACATGAATTACAACTCCCAAATCTATTTACTATGATAATCAGTCACATATTGCAATGACAAAATGACGCTGAGTACCGTGCTATACCTTCAGCAGTGACAGATGTTATATGGCTCAGAAAACTTCACAAAGACTTTCAAATTCAGTTCCATTCACACCATAATTTACTATGATAATCAGTCACCTATTGTAATTGCTCAGAATCCTATTTTCATTGCTCAAACGAAGCATACAAAGATCAACTACAATTTCATCAGAAATCACATCCAATCTAATGAAATTACACTTCAATATCTGTCTTCGGACGAGCAACTGGCAGATATACTTACCAAGCCATTTTCATCTCTAAGGTTATGCACGCTCAGGGACAAAGTAACAATATCACCACCAAATAGGGGGGTGTTTCCAATATCCATTCTTTAGAGATTACTTTATCCTTGTAGTTATAAAAGCTATTAAATGCTGCAATTTTTATCAAATTATGAGAACCGATGATTAATCAATTACATCACCTAAGCAAATATTAGTTGCTTAAAAACTACAACCGAAAACACTCTAAACCCAAACATGACGGTCATGTACCACAATATCAAACTGTGTAGATCATATCTACAAAATACCTCCGATTTTGAAAAATCCCATCACAATCATTCATTTAGATAGATGGAATTGGTGGCTGCTTATGGTGCAATTAGCATGATAATTGGGTAGGATTAGAACCCCCTAAATTTGAGGAAAGATTATCAGGTCAACTTAGCTAAGAAAATTGTGACTTAGTCAAAATTTTAATTAATACTGTACCAGTACAACATTAACAAATAAAGAATATTGACTCTGGGTAAGAAAACAATTTAATCTAAACCAAAACAGAAATATTTTGAAACTGTTGTGTGGCAGAAGAAACGTACCGTAACTTCAATGGGCACACGCGTGTCAATCCGATGCTGGTAATACAGATCGATGCAGTCAACCCCAAGTCTCTTCAGGCTCGCCTCGCATGCCGACCTGACATAAGAAGGTTCCCCTGAAATTTCCCTCCTCCCGTCATCGTAGAATCTGACTCCGAACTTGGTGGCGAGCTCAACTTTCTCCCTAAGCCCTTCTCGCAGAGCCTACATCGAAGAAAAATCATGCAAATCAAATTGCAAAGCTCTCACCTAAAACCCTAACTAATAAAACAGGTTTATAAATAGTAACTAGAGGTATAAGATCAAGACCTTCCCGAGAAGGATCTCGTTGGTGTGGGGTCCATAGAGGTCGGAAGTGTCAAGGAAAGTGACGCCGGAATGAACGGCGTGGTGGATGAGATCGATCATGTCCTTCTCGGGCTTGGAAGGGCCATAGAAGGCAGACATACCCATGCACCCCAGTCCCTGGAGCGAGACCTCGAGCCCTTGAGACCCGAGCTTGACTCGAGGAACGTGAGACAAAACTCTCGCGGAGTCCGCCATGGCTTCCCTCTTCTCCGATTGTTTCTTTCCTCCTGCTTACTTGCTTTGAACGGGAGGAGCGGTAGGAAAGCTGCTAGTATCTGAGGTTGATCAGTAAAGAATTCGCCTTCGGAACAGTACTTTGAATTTTAAATTTTAGGTATAATTACATATGTGCCACTCGAAATATTCTTATTTACAAAACTAGTAGTTTTATCATTATTCTTCTATTTTTAAAATTCTCGCCAAGTAACATAATAAAAAATGAATTTAACAGCCACATAATAAGATAAGTTTGAACAAAATTTAAGCCTTTCATTTCTTTTGAGAAAATCTGAATTTTAACGGTTATATTAACTTTTGATTATATGACCTATTCAATTTTTCCTTTTTCAGGTAGCTTTACGTTTGGGATTGTGAGCATAAAAATTCATGCTTTGATGAATTTTACAACAAGATTTTTTTTTTTATGAGATAATCATATATATATATATCACATGAAATATTGATATTTACAAATTAATCGTCCAGGTGGTTTTTTTTTAAGCCACTGAATCGATTAAATTATTGAAACTTTGATAAGAATGAAAAAATATGGGTTGGGGTTTTAACATGACCGTTGTTATTTGAGAGAAAATTTGAAAAATGGTTGAAAGAAAGTTGATTTGTAAATAACAAGTTTTAGGTGGCATGTAGTTGCCCTTTTTTTTACGTTTATCTTTTGCAATAAATTGTGATGTTATTTGTTTGAACATTTAAAGATTAAATACATTGCTTATGCTAATCCCTAAAGAGTGTTAATATACATTAAATTACATGTTCGAAACTTGTTAGAATCTCTTTGGTCTCCAAATTATGATTAAATAATAATTCAATAATTTTTAAATACAATCTTGGGACAGTATTTATACCCTAATTATGTATCTTCAAACTATCTTCAACCATGACTCGACTAGTCTTCCAATAGCCTTTAAATCTTGTTTGAGTCATTATTAAATTATCTTTGAACGTTCATAGACGATTCAATCATGGTACAAGCTATTTAATCATGGTTCATATTTAGAAGATGGTTTAAATATTTTTCAATTCTGACCCGACAAGATTTAAAGTTGGTTCAGTTACTGTTTAATTACGATTTGATCATTATTTGATTATCATTCGAGAATGATTTTTAGATGTTTGATCAGAGTATAATCATTATTTAAATATTATTAAATATTTTTGAATGATTATTCAATCATAGATTGATTATTATTTATTATGGTTAATTGTTGTTTTATCATGGCTTGAGTATTATTCAAAGATGTTTCATTTTGTTTTGTTCATTCAAGCTATTTTGTTATATATAAAGAATACTCTAATCATATTAGAAATGATGCATTATAGTACGAGGGCCACATATTAAGCTGAGGTGTGAAAAATTTGCCCTGATCATTAGGCTATAGTTTGAAAAATTTTCATATGAGGTTTCAAAAGATGGGTAAATAAAACATTGTTCTTGGACGCCTAAGCGACTGGGCCTCTAGCTCTGGGCACCCAAGGTTGCTGCTTAAACTTTCATGAATGGTGCCTAAGCATCGATTTAGCTTAGTTCAGCCCAGTTCAACCTGTTTTGTGTCTGTTTCATCTCCTTTGTTCCACATGTTACCTAATCATCGTTACACTGCATATATAACCACAAATATCATGAAAAGAAGTATAAACATGACACAAATAATATAAAATAATATATAAATATCATATATATTTGAAAGACATCAACCAATTTGGAAACTCCTCGCCCATCTTGGAAACCCATCACTTCATCCATTTAACATGAAGAACCGTGTATATGGAATTTGGCACTGCAAGAAAGCAACCGAATGCTCCTCCAGGTATGAGTGACTTGACACCCATCTGGGAAATCTAATGCTCCTTTGAGCGTGAGCGACCCAATACCCATAAAAAATCTCAATGCTTGCCTTTTATCCCCTTACAACAATAGAGACAGAACGAGTAAGAATTAGATGCTCCAAATCACAAACCTAATGCTCGGAACTGACATATGGAATTTTGAATAGTTTCATGCCCACAAGGTGTTTCATATGTTTTAACTTAGTTGTGCATCTAGTCTTCTTCTGATAGTCCTATATTACAACTCATTTTAACATTCCAATTGGTTAATTTGAATGTAAATAAAAATTGAAAGGTTAAAATAATAGCTTCTACATCTATAAGTTAAAAATCCTAACGTGGGTTAACTTAGAATTTTAAGAAAACAACTTTAATTTGGCACAAAGGATTTTCCTCTTCAAGCACCTAGGTGTTAGTCTAGGTGCCAGGTTGCTTGGACTAAACACTGGATTTCCAGACGCTCTATCTTTTGCATGTTATGGAATCACTAGATGGGGCGCCTAAGTGCCTGACACGACGCTAGGTTTCTATGTGCTCGATTTTCCTAGTCAAATGGGGATCTTCACTAGTGCCTAGGCACATCTTGGGGAGTTTGAACTCTTTTAGCCAATTTGCTTAAAATGCTCCCTATACTCCAATTCTTTTTGTATGCAACATAAAACATTACAAATATCCTATAAAAGAATAAAAATATATTGTACATGATAAAATAAATATATACACATCACACATTTTTTATACACATCAAGTTTTCTCAAACTTAAATATTACTTATTCTCAAGTAATTCAATTCTTAAAGGTAGACATTTTGAAAATTCATGAAAAATTATTAGGGTTATAAGATTTCTTAATAAAGTAAATATATATATCAAAGTGCACAAATACCTGTTTAAGATTGAATTTTCCTAAAAACCCTTAATAATCTTAACTTAACTTATATTAATTCCCTTTTATATGCATATTCTTAAATCACTTATGCTTGGTTAATTAAAATAACATTTAATTCTCAAATATATATACTTGGTTGAGTCTTATAAATTAAATAGTTTTAATTTCATTATTATCTTCTTAAATGTAATCATTTCAAATTATATTAGAATGTTCTTTATTCTTTAACTTCTTTGGAGATTGATACCAATTTTAAGTATAAACGTAATCTCAAGCTTCTCATCTAAGGCCTTGAACTTTTATTGTGAGAAACATCAACATCCTCTTTTTCTCTTTGAATTTTTCTTTTATATTTGTCGGTCTCCAAATTGTGATTATGTCAGTAGCTTTTGAAAATGATTTAATTTTATATATAATTTTTTATTTTTGAAAAAAAAGTATTTTAATTTTGAAAAATAAGACTACAAAGATCTCATATAAACAATTTAAGTAATCAAGCAACATCAAAAACAATACATCTTCCCGAGAGATAGACATATTTCTTGACTGTGAGCTAGATTGCATAAAGTAAATAGTTTATGAGATTCATTTGGTCTGTGAACCTTTTATGTTTGACCTACAAATTCCCCTACCTAATATAAATATTAGGAAGGGGTTTATTTTACCTGGGTTCCAAGTTCCTTATATACGCAATCCCCTATAATTTATCACATCTTAAATGACCGAAGTCACTTAAAAAAACTTTCGATTAAGATCAGTGGGTTTGTCTTCAAGATTTCAAAGTTTAGTTTTCAAGGTTGGATATGGAAAATCAAGTGGAAAGGGACCAAATAGTAGCAATTATTTTAGGCGTTCGAATGAGGGAAAATTAGCGACACCACAAATCCTGAGAAGAACCTCGATGACTTCTCAAACTATCTTATTGTTTGACTACATATTTTAAAGATGATGCTATTTAAAGGTTCACTCCTGCCGATTTTATTATTTAGGGCTTACATTGACATAATACCCAATCATGCAAACAACCTATGAAGATAGGAGGGGTTAAGTGGTAGTAAACGGCAACATTATCACCTAAAGGGAGTTAGAACTTATAACGTGCAACATGATTGTGCAAGAGCCTAAAAATAATGTGAGGATTTACGTCGTGCTAGACGAACCGCCTTGAATTCTTATGGGTTATGTTATTTAAAGCTAAGTAATGATTTAACTGGAATAGGTCTGCTTCATGTTTTGCCTTGCTTTGTTGCTTGAAGCTGTCCTTCATCCCCTTGCTTCCTCAACGTGTTGCCCACAAAGTTTGCTCCAAGCTTCATACGTGACAACTTCAAGTTTAGGATTTTTTGTGTGAGCATGCAATTGATGTTGGGTCTCATGGCCTGTCGTAGGGTTCCACCTAGCATATGTCCTACTCTTGTCTACCCCAAGGGTCTTTGCAAGTGAATTAAATTAAACATGTTGTAACACGCAGTAAAGAGGAGTGTGGTAAAAAGAAGAAAAGTAGTAGTGTGTACCTGTTGCTCCAGCCATTGCTGTAAGGTTAGCATTATAAACATAGTATGATAGTGTTATGAGGAATTTTGTCATTCATACTTGACGTATCATTTTGTTGAATTGGGCATAAGTTGGATATTTTAGTAGGAATTCATTTACCTACAGTTAGCCTAACGTGCACGTTGTTATTGTTGAATTGAGAGCGACTTCAACTTTTTTTAAGAAGTTATGGGGGGGATGTTAAGTTCTTTAATAGTCGTGACTAGGGTTATTGTGGAGTGATAGTATGATAGTGCGGATGAGGATTTTGAATTTCATGGACCAATGGTTCATAACCTTGTTTAGAGTAAGAATTAATTTTTCCTATGTGACTTTGTTTTATGATTGCTTTGTTCTTTTAGCTTTTTAATGCTTAATGGAACAAACCTATTACTAATTTGCAAAGGGCAAAGCAATTTAGAGCATTTTTTTTTTGATTGATACGTGGCTTGTTAATCACACTTTTACCACTAAATTATGCCTGCAATAAGTTTATTACGCAATAGAAATGAAAATTCAATTTAATAGAATTATGAGACAATCAAGATACCAACAAGAACATGTAATTTCTTTTTGGGTATGGAATCAGAAATAATAATACGATAAAAATGATTACAAATTTATTTTTGTTCTACTTTTTCTAGCTTATTTTTCTTTCACCTAAAGGCTTATCTCAGCCATTTTGTGAAATCTTGCAATGATGCATTAGTGCGATCTTAGTTTAAAAAACCATTGGAGATGTGCGCCTCAAATTGAGGTGCAGGAAGAGCGCTTTGAGGCTTTAAG